CTGAAACAAGGAAGAGGACCTTCGAAAACATCTCAGAGAGGTTTGATACAATCAAACAGGCTCTGATACTTAAGAAGAAAGTGAACGATAACATAGATAAGTTCGGAAGCTGAGGGAAGAGTAGATAACGAATCACAAAAAAAGATTTAACCACCGTTTTGTTCCCATCACCAGTACCGTGGGTCAGATTAACTGTTTTGGCAATGAAGCTCATTCTATCCATTCTCGCACTCGTTCTAGTTTCTGTTGAAGCTCAGAATGTTTGTAAGTTTCATATTGGTCATAACACTCATGCAGAGGTAAATTTTAGCTTGTAACTATAATCCACCAAACTCCCTCTTCATTAACTTCGTTCCCATAAATGGCCTCCGCACTTTTGGAGAACAAACTAACAGGTATGCTTAACTTCAGCTATGTATGATTNTTTAATTTATGATTTGGAAACTATCGTAGAAATTGCTGGGTGAAGAAGCTGATAATACGGTGGAATAGATAGTAAGGTTGTTTCGGACTGGCTACTGAAGTAACCTCGAAATGACGACTCCTTCATAGTTACTCATACCTCCTAAGATGATATACGAAGGTGAAATCAGAGGAGTTGAAGTAAATCAAACTAATAACTGATGAGATTATTGAAAAGCTTTTGCAGACAAAAATTTTATTGAAGATTTCTTCTACTACTTGTCGATCAGTTAGTATCAACAGCAGTTAAGATTAAAGCGTATGCAACTTTGTGCAACTCAGTATGGTACAAGCAGAAGTTATCATCCTTAAATTGCACAAGTTATGATGGAATGGAAAGCATTGGCTTTTGAACTTACGTAGAATGCGTCTCCAGCTCCAAGTCCTCCGGATTGGCAAGTCATGAACCATTTTGGTCTGTTCAATCCATAAGATAATGTACGCAATATTCCCTTGAGTAGAGCTGTCGTTACACTTATGAGAAGGGCAATGCTACCTTGCACGAATAATCGTTGACATTTGTGAGGTTCTGAGCGATTTGTGCACGAAGAGTACCATTAGCACATGTATATGAATTAATATCATCTGAATCATTTTTTGGCTGATTGTGAAGAAGTAGTTCAACCAACNGTAGTTCAACCAACCAAAGCCATCCAGTATTTCGGGTCTCTTGAACTTCCTGCTTGTCATCTTGGCCGGTAAAGTGGGAGTGTTAGCAAGGAGGACTTTGGCATTTATATAAAGAGTAGAAATAACAGGACAGTATGAGTAGCATGTGCTGTTTCCGTATTGGAATCCAGCCCGAGCAGTATCCTCAACCTCACTCACTGAACTTGTGACGAAGCTGCCATTAAGAGCGTCAAAATCGCAACCTGCAATTTATAATAATCTAATATGATTACTTATATCGTTTACATTACCTGCAACAAGCAGTAGCGGCACTGAAACAAGGAAGAGGACCTTCGAAAACATCTCAGAGAGGTTTGATACAATCAAACAGGCTCTGATACTTAAGAAGAAAGTGAACGATAACAAAGATAAGTTCGGAAGCGGATGGAGGCGTAGATAACGAATCACAAAAAAAGAAACTTCTTTCATTGAAAATGAAGATCTCTCTGCTCAACTGATGTCATATACGTTATCGCTGATAACTCATGGTTATTGGATGATAAGCTTTGTTTGATAAATCCAAATTTAACCACCGTTTTGTTCCCATCACCAGTACCGTGGGTCAGATTAGCTGTTTCGGCCATGAAGCTCATTCTGTCTATTCTCGCATTCGTTCTGGTTTCTGTTGAAGCTCAGAATGTTTGTAAGTTTCATATTGGTCATAACACTCATTGAGAGGTTAATTTCAGCTTGTAACTATACTCCATCATCAAAATCTGTCATCATCGACATCATTCCCATAAAGGACCTCCGCACTTTTGGAGAACAAACTAACAGGTATGCTTAACTTCAGCTATGTATGATT